AAAATCTTCTCTGAGGGTCTGGCAGACCCTCACAAGCAAAATACACTAACAGAGGGAGTTGCAGAGCCGAGGGGGAATCAGGTTAAGTCACCTCTTCCAGTGACACCAGCCACAAGTGGAAAAAGGGGGAAAGGGGTGATTTCATTGATTTCCCACCACCACCCCATCATTGCTGCAGCCTTTTCCCCACTCTGGTGGCTCATTTTGCTTGCACAGCTACACAGAGCCTCACAAAGAAGTTCAAGGACAAATGTTTGTGGAAGGGGAAGGTAAGGAAAAATCCCTCCATTAACCCTTTCCGTGAATTTTTCCGATGGATTCTGTGGTTGGACATCCTGTAATACTCCTATGCCTCTGAATCTAAGCCATCCTGGGGGTGGCGGAGAACCCCAGAGTAAGCCATCTTGAACTCTGTGATAGAAATATAATAATAAAAGCAAATCAGTTTTTGAAAAATTAACAATGGATTAGTGTTTATTGCCATCCATAAGGCAATAATTGGGCCTTAGCCAGCCAGCAACAAGAGAACTGCACCAGTTCATGGAATGAAAAAAATTAGTTAAAAGATCCACAAGTACCAAAGAAAAATGTTTTATTTTTTGAAACAGATTTTATTTTATATTTAATAAATAAATTTCTCATGAGGATAATTGGGACTACTTCCATCTTTATGTAGATACTAGGTCCGTTGTGGGAAGAAATACAACGAGCTCTAGAAGGAAGCTCCAGGTGAGTGTCCCAGCTGTGACTGGTGGGGCGGATGAGGGAAGGGGAAAATAGAGGTAGGCAAGCCATGTTTATTTCCTTCTGCTTAGCTATAAGGCAGGGCTGTCTCAAGTCATTTTGCTGCCCCAAGTGGGTAGTATGGGAGGACAGCCTCATGGTAACAGGTATGGTTCCCTCCACTCTGACTTATGTTGATTTGGGGTTATGCAGTGGCAGCTAAGGTAGAAAAGCACCTCCTCCTATGCCATGTCTTCTGGGTTCCAAGGGTCTGGAAAGCAGTTCCATAGCAGGGTTGCCAACTCTGGGTTGGGAAATACCTGTAGATTTGAGGGGTAGAGCTTGGGGAGGGCAAGGTTTGGGGTGCAGAGGGACCTCAGTAGGGTATAATTCCATAGAGTCCATTGCCCAAAGCAGCCATTCTCTCCAGGAGAACTGATCTTGTAGATCTCCAGGTGGTGCCTGGAGGTTGGCAATACAAAGGGGAGGGCTAGACCTGTAGATTTGAGGGGTAGAGCCTGGGAAGGGCGAGCTTTGAGGAGAGCGACCGCCATCGCCGATCCACCCACCGTGCTGGGAAAATTTCTGTAGGGAAAATGATGTGCTGTGGCTGGGGAACACGTTGATTTCTGGGAGATCTCCAGGCCCCACATGGAGATTGGCAACTCCAGTGACCGTTTTTACTTCAGGACACATTAAATGACTCCCAACAGCAACAACAAACTGTTTAGAATGTTAGAGGCAAAGGCCAATCAGGCCACATATGCAAATGACCTCTGTGTTCCGACTGGCTATTGGGGGCAGAGGAACAGCAAACTGTTTAGAATATTGGAGGCGAGACTCAGGCAACACAGCCAGTGAACAGGGACAGTTTCTGAGTGACAGATCAGGGAGCCATCTGATTTGGAAGCATGTGGAATGTTCAGGAGAGTCCATGACCAAAACAGAATTATTATATAGAGAGATAATTATTACCTGGTGCCATGGGCTTCAAGAGCAACATGCATGAAACATACAGAAAACAAATCATTGTTCTATAGTACTTGTGTTGAAGCTTTAGACAATATAAGAAAGTGGAACGGCAATACGGGAGGGGGGGAGAGAAGAGTTCCAAGCAGAGCAAGAGGAGGAGGCAGCAGCAGCAGGTAAACCCTCTTCCCCCCCCCCCAATCCCTGGACACCAGCGACATGGCCTGAGTGTCTTCCAGCCTCCGGGCCTCACCAATCTCTCCCCCCCCCGGCTCCTTCACCCTCTGCCGGCCTCCTCCAAAATGCCCCCGATGTGCGGTTTTAGATATCTGCACACAGGGGGCGCCTTCGCTATTAGATATATAGATATTTTGATGCAACTTTAGCAGAAGCAACTAATGAATGTTGCTGGCAGCTAATACTGACAATATTTTAACCTGATATATTTTAATTTTAAGTGTTTTAACTATGATATATACTTGTGCATGTTAACATTTTGCAAGCCGCCTTGGGCATTGTAGAAATGCCCAAGGGAACCTCCACATTCAGAGGCAGTCAACCTCTGAATCTCGGTGCCAGGAAGCAACATCAGGGGAAGGCCGCAGCCTCTATGCCCTATTGTTGGCCATCCAGAGGGACTGGTTCGCCACTGTGTGAGACAGGATGCTGGACTAGATGGACCACTGGTCTGATCCAGCAAGGCTCTTCTTATCTTCTTAAATGTGGGATATAAATATGTTTAAATAAATAAATAAGTTGTTTATATACATTTAACACAAATGCTTTGTTCTGCTCTGCCCCAGGAGTTCAAAGCAGACAAATTCTATGCAGATTCACTAAATGCTCCTGTCATATAACCCCTGTCAAAATGCAGGGAGCATAGGCTGTGTGGTAGATTGCACCCTGTGTTTCTGAGTGGCCAACTGGCCAACTGAGACTTGTATGAGATTCTCTTGTGTAATTCTCTTGAGTCAGATGCCATCTCCATGCTAAGTCCATGAGCATGCTTAGGGAGAAAAGAACTACCATCGCAAGGAGAGTTATAGTGGATAAAAACAAACAGATTGCATAAGCAAAGCATAGAAAAGTCACAGTCCTGCCTCTTGCTTTTCACCGCCTTATGAGCTACTGTTTACAAGACTTTCCTGTAGCAGCAACAGATTAACATGGCTAACTCCTCTGGATCTAAGACTTTCCTGTGTATCAGTGGCTTTATGTCTGTGTTGTGTGAGTATGTGTAAGTGCTTCTAATGGTCATCTTTATGCATCCTATGAAGTGAACTCTAATCCATTAATGCTTATGCCATAATAAATCTGTTATTGTTCCAAGGGACATAAGACTGTTGTCTGTTGCAGTAGAAGAGCTATTGTGCTGCAACTGTCATCTGTGCAGGATAACTGATAATCACCTTCACGGTTATATTCCCCATCTGATATGAAAATAAGTTAAAAGTGTTTCCCTGTGGAGATGATTCTCTGTGTAGCTCTGGCTGCTGCTGTGAATGCAGAGGCATTTGCAATGGCAGCAGGGTACCCATACAGACATTTTTCTGGCACTTTCCCTGCCTAAGCCTTCCATGGCTGCCATTGGAGAGCTTTTCTCAGGCTTAAAATCTGTTAGAGCTATAGCACTATAGCTATTGCATCATGCTACTACTTCCCAGTTTTCATTTTTAAAGAAATATCTAGTCATTTGGTTGCAGAGCTATAAAGAAATATGTGAAGCCAGTAACTTTCCCCTTACAATCAAATGGTTAGAGAATTTCCATTTTAAATGAATGCTGGGACCTAGTATAGTGTTGCAATAATATAGCTATTGCAGTGATATAGCTATTACTAGCTTTTAAAAGGTCCATAAAAGCCCTCCAGTGGAGGGGAGGAAATGGCTACCACAGGAACTGAGGTAAAGAAAATGGCACCAATGTGGGAGGGATTGGGGGGAAAGTCCATATAAACTCCAACGGTACTTTAACTATGGTCTTTCCAAAAGCATCCTTTTAAACCAGGTTTGGGAAAGATTGCAGCAGAGTGAGAGAAAATGGACCAAATGAAGTATGGCCTCCTTCTCTTTGTCAAATGCTGGAAAAGGGCAAAAAGATACACTTCCTCCTGTGTAAATCTAGATGAATGGATGCATGGAATCTGCCTAGGTAGACAGGTAGGCAATGGAGCGACTTGTGTTTATTAGTGCAATGCAGACTCAGTGCAGGGGTTGCCTAATTCTTCAATTTACAATAAACATAGTCAGCACAGTTCGACTGTGATTGTATACACCTTTTTTTTTTTTTTACAAGAATGGTCTTCTGTGATTTAAAAAATCAAATTTGAAGTAACCCTCCATCTTTGTAGGCTAGTGTGATGCAGTGGAGGCAGAGTTCAGGGCTATAGACAAGGTAGGGCTACTGGACTCACCACCCACATGAGGCACTGGTTCTTCCCATCTGAATTTGTCAAAAGCGAGAGTTTTAAATTGATTATTTTAATGTGAGGTTGGTTCTGGAATAGGAGAATGTATGTTAGAAGTGCCTATAAATGCTCTAGATCTCACCTACATGATCCACCCAACTCTGCCCACCCAAAATTCTCACTGGTTAATTTTTCAAGGCCACTGCAACCTTTATACTAAGTGATCTTGAAACACACACTTCAACTCTTCAGCTACTGTGACTAAAAAAACCCAAACTCCTTATAGTTAACTCTTTCCGTCTTTTATTTGTGTAAGAGATGTGTTCATTGTGAGTGTTTGAAAGCGCTTGAACTTTAAAATAACTAATTTCATTCCACTTATACATTTCGGAGACTCAGTTATAAATACTTAAAAAATACTCTTGGGCTTGGCAAAACTGCTCTAAACGTTTCTGTTGGTTATGGGGGAAATGCTGACTTTCATTCATATCTATGATTTGTGACCTGGAAGTGAGACAGCAAAACCTAGCAAAGAAAGGCTGGGAATAGCCCTGGCCCATCTTCAACAGAACAGATAAGGTACTTCTGCCACAGGAAATGTTTTATGTGATCTGTAAGTATGAATGCTCTTATATTAAAAACATAGGTTCAGTAAAAGATAACCACCTTGCTTGTTTTTCTTGGCGATACAGATTAGTGAAAGTACTGGAATTTGATTGTATAATTTGTCTGGCTGTTTCGATGGATATCATGCTGTAGAAAAGAACTCATGGTTATAAATACTGCATTTTTAAACTAAACAAATAGTAATATTCACACAGAACCCAATAGGGCACTTTTTATACATTCATAACGAGAAAGGGGCCAAACTTATAATCGGTTTTACTGTTTTCTTGTTCTAGGATTGGTCGAAATATTCATCCTCTTGTTAGTCCACTGAAAACAGTAGTTACTCCTTCATTACTTCAGAAACACAGGTCACCTTCATCACACAGCCAATCTCCAAATGGACAGCAGTTCTCGGCAAATAAACCATACACGCAATTTCAAAACCAATCTACACAGCAGGGACTACAAGGTAATTCTATACTGTATTTTTTTTAATTCAAACAATGCACCAGCAGTCATGCATCTCAGACGCATGTGCAAATCCACCCTAAGGATCGAACTTAATAGTGCAAGTTCTTTGCAGTGCAACTTAATCCATGTCATTATATGATGTATTTTCTACCCTTGCCAGTTGCAGCCAATGACATGGAGCTGAGATGGAGAAATTAAGAGTGTAGTGACAGCATGAGAATGGGCCCATAATACTCACTGTGGAGTGGGGTGAGGAAAACAATGGTGCTTTCATTTTTTGGCAGCAGCCTATGTTGCTTGTAATGATTGGTTATGCTCTGAAAGCCTAGTAGCATTTTCACTGAAACTCTGCATTGTTTTAGATCATTTGATATTTCTGAGAGATTCAGTACTAACTTTCATGAAGCTGCATGCTTGTTAGTATAAGTACCCTCAAGGGCTAATGGGGAGAAGCTCATCTGCCCAGCTGATTCTCTTCCCCAAATTATCTCCATTTCCCCTCCAGTATTTCCTTCATCTCCACTCACAGCTCCTCACTTCTTCCCGTTTCCCACCTACCAGTGCCACTGCCTTCTGCCACTTTCCCTCCAATCTTTCCCCAACTAACCTCCACGGTGGAAGTAACATTGCAGCAACCATTTTTGGATTATCAAAGTTGTCTAAGCAATACAAAATGGCTGCCAAGATCTCATGATGACATTTGAGCAAATAAAAAAATTATCCCCCCCCCTTTATTGTGCTACAGTTTATTTATTTATATTTATTTATTTGGATTTATATCCCACCCTCCCCTTGAGGGGCTCAGGGCGGGTTCCAACAGTATAAAATATAATACAATTAAAACCACTTTAAAACATAATACAAAATAACATAACTTGTATTTAAGATTTTTTCTATTAACCTGAGGGTCCCTCAGGTTTGTAGAAACATCTCCCCTGTATGTACATCGCCTCATTGTGTGGATTTTTTTATACAAGAGGCCATTGTCCAGAATTAGATATACTGATAGCCAGGGGTCATTTGGACCCGGAGTGGTGCTCCAGCAGTCAGTGTCAGTCCCCTCCCGCCAGCGCGCACCAGAGCCGCAGGATCGCCCACCATTGCTGCCCGACCACCCGCCTGGCATCACTGGACCTGGAGTGGTGCTCCAGCAGTCAGTGCCAGTCCCCTCCCGCCAGCAGCTTGGTGGAGCGCGCGCCGGAGCCGCAGGATCGCCCGCCATTGCTGCCCGACCACCCACCTGGCGTCATGGGAGGCGGCTCAGCCTCAGCTCCGCTCTTGCCAGCTGCGAGCACACGCGCCAGGGGCTGATGGGGAAGGCGGGGAGGGGGGTCCGAGGTGGGGAGGGAGGGAGGGAGAGGCGCTCTGGCCCCCTTCCCCTGCCAGTTAGCACCACACCGGTGCAACGCCCCTCCCTGGCTCAGCTGCTGCCTCCAGCGGGTGGCCCGCCTGCCGACCGATCCCCCTGCATCACCCAGGCCAAGCAAGCCTGGCTCCCACCTTGCCCGCCAAGTGCAGGGCGGGCTCCCATTGGCTAGCATTATTCTTGCTGCTGTAAAGATATATGTTATTATATATAAATTTTCCTTCTTACATTGTTCTGGAAATATATTTAATAAACATTTTCCTGGTACAAACGGTTTTTCTAGTCCTGTTATTTCTTTCACAATATTATATATTTTGCACCAATACTTTTGTATTTTTTCACATCTCCACCACATGTGAACATATGTGCCAACATTTTTTTTACATTTCCAACAGTTTCTATTACCGTTCACAAAGCATTTTGCTGTTTTATCTGGTGTCCAGTGCCACCTATGGAACATTTTAAATATATTTTCTTTATATGGTATGGCTGTTTCATCTTGTAAATAATCAGTTAGTAGAAAGTTATATAGCTTTTGGATTAGTTTGTCATTTGATGAGAGCCATATCTTGTCTAAGTCATTATTGCTACTGTAAAATCCTACTTTCTTATCTTTGTTGATTCTTGTCTTTAATTGAATATTATCCCACCACGTGAGCCTGATATTCTGCACGGCCAGTTCTTCTTCTGTTTTTAAATTGTCATTTTTATCTAAAAGCCTTTCATATGTCACTCTCCTGTTTTTGTTATATAACGTGGGTTTTATGAGTGCCTCTAAAGGGGATACCCATTTTGGGATTTTGTCATAGAAACTTTTTGTTTCTTTCCATATTTTCATCAATGCACCTCTTATTGTATGTTGCTTAAAGCTTGTACTTCATACCACGTGTATGTATGCCATCCCATACGTAACTTAAATCCTTCTAAATTTAGAGTCCTGGTATTTTCTAGCATTATCCATTCCGTTATCCAACTTAATGCAGGTGCTTTATAATACAAATTCCAGTTTGACAAACCAAAACCGCCTCTCTCTTTTTTATCCTGCATTACTTTTTTTTTAATCCTAGGTTTCTTGTTGTCCCAGATGAATTGACTACACATTTTATCCAGTTCATGAAAACACTTTGTATTTCTTAATATTGGGATGTTCTGCACCAAAAAGAGAAAACGAGGAAGAATATTAATCTTTACTATAGCTATTTTTCACATAAATTATCTTTTTAAATTCTTCCATTTTTTAAAGTCCCTTTTAATTTCTAATAGCAATTTATTATAATTGTCTTCTGTTAATGTGATATTTCTATTAGAAATTGTAATTCCTAAATATTTAACCTTCTTTACCATTTTCATGTTATATGCCGTCTGAATTTGATTCATTTGTTGTTCTGTACAGTTCTTTGTTAATATGTTTGGTTTTTT